CATCGTGTCATTTGAATAAAGCTGCATTACAAGGTGACCTTCAAGGAGTGTCAAATCTCAAATCAAGCCCTCAAGACACACTGAGCTTTCAGGCTCTACACACCCCCAACACAACCCTTCTGTCAGCTGATCCTGAGACTTACCGAGCAGGTAACACTCAACTGATCAACCTCCGACCAGCACCGCCCTCCAGCTGCTAATCAGCATCAACCATTACATTAACAAAAGAAGCTTATCTGGGACACTGAAGGAGTCAAATCAAAACCTCATTGCTTTCGGGCCCTAAAAACGCAACTATACATTTGCAGATTACAAAACGGAGCCCGATCGTGACCAAATGCAGACTCAACGATGTGGCCGAGCCGCAGTGAAAGGACGACGCAAGAAGTCACGACTACAGAAGGAAGAAAGAGTCTGTGGTCACATGAGGAAGAGACGGAGACACACTTCCTCTTAGAATGCAACAAATACAACAATAACGGACAGGAACGCTTTAAAAAGTTTGACACATTAACCCAAAACTTCACAGAACTGGATGACAGGAGTGTTGGGAGAATCAAGTCGAGCAGCTGCACAACAAGTGAGTGCATGTGACGAGCAGAGAGACACATAATTACACCATCAAGGAATAAGACATAATTATCTTGACCTAGTACGCTGAACATATTGGCACGCCTACGTGACACATATTTACTTTGTTGTCATTCTGTCGTTCCCTTAATTGTCTTAATCAGCTTCTTTGTTTCAGTTAATAACACGTCTGATGTCTGACCTTTAAAGTCACACCTGACTGGGGTGTGGATCGAGTCAATGGTTGGGAATTTGTCCCCAAATAACCAGGTCAACAACTTTTTGCTAAACAGACCACTTGTCTGTTGTGTCATATTGTTGTTCAACAAGCCAGCCTGAGAGAAATTAAAAGAAAAAAGAAGAAGACTAACATACCACAGACTGGGTGGATTCCTAGGTGTGTTCCAAACAAACCAAATGGGTCAAGATGTTCGACACGCCTGCAATATATCTCTACAGGTTTTTCCTACATTGAAATGAACTTGAATAAAATGCTGCTGGTGAGTAACAGAACACATATTTCCACTTACGCAGAGGACGTCAGTTGAATAGGAATCAAAAGGACTGCTGCACGCTGTTTAACTTTCAAAAATATGCTACATCAGGGAAATTTCTTTATTGCAACTGCAGGTTTATCTGCATATGCAGCCCTTAAGGATCCATCCATCTATTATCGATGCACCACTTAATCCTCACTAGGGTCGTGGGGGGCTGGAGTCTATCCCAGCTGACTTACGGTGAAGGCAGGTTCACCTGGACAGGTCATCAGTCTATCACAGGGCTACACTTAGAGACAGACAACCAAGCACACTCACATTCACACCTACGGACAATTTAGAATCACCAGGAAGCTGGAGAACCCAGAGAGAACCCACGCTGCACGGGGAGACGTGGGAGGCGACGGTGCTAACCACTGAAACACCTTGCAGCCCACCCCTAAGGATTCATATGGTAGAATTGTATCCATTAAATGCACGGGTAATCATTTTTTCTGATATATTTGTGATTCTTGCTTTACACATATTGTTGAAAGTGGTTATTTGGTGGTATGGCGTTTTGTTGTTTTTTGAAAAGTTTATGCCTCTGCAGTTATAGCCACTCCATATTTAAGATTTTAAACTGAATAAAAGAAAATGTGGTAAAATAAAGATAATACTACACATAGTAATAATAAAGATAAATAAACATAAAGAGTAAAATATAATAAAATAGGCAGCTAAAATAGATGTCACATTAAAAACACAGTCTTTTTAGGGGGTGTAGAAAGTGATTTAAAAGAAGACACTGATTATATCTTCAGGTAGTTCCATTCCAAAGCTGCAAAAGCGTTATTAATATGAAGGGATTTGATAAGTACAGCCTATGTAGTGGCACAAACACACACACACACACACACACACACACACACACACACACACACACACACACACACACACACACACACACAAATATTGTGATAGGGCTCACACAAGTATTTCAGTTGTGTTGCTGCATTTTAATTTTTACGGTTATCTGAATTCATTAAAATGTTTCTTGCACCCACCCTCACCCCAGGCACATGGCTGCCCTCCCAGTGCTTGGTTCTGGTGAAGTGTTTATTTTTGTCCTTCTCAGAAAAAACTTTTTTCTTTCCCACTGCTGCCAAATGCTTGCTCAAAGGGACTTGGAAGGAAACTTAGGTGTTGTTGGGTTTCTGTGCATACATTTTGCAAGGTCTTTACTTTACTCAGGTAGCTCAAACCTTTGCAGCTCCAAAGGTTTGGAACGGCCTTCCTCTTCCAATGAAATGCTCCTCCATTGATATTTTCAAGAAAAACCTCCAGATGTACCTGCTTTTCATGGCTTTTAGCTGCTCTTAATGGTCCTAACATTTTGTATTTATTTTTATTTCAGACTTTGATTTTGAAGTTGCTACCCTCCTTTGCCTGTTTTAGTATTCTATATGATTTTATTTTGTTTTGTCAATTGATTTTACTAGATTTTTATTGTCTATACATTTCATATTATCTATCATATTTTTATATCGTCCATAGAATTCTTTTGCTGCCAATCTGTGAACATGTACAGCACCTGAAGTTGTGTTTAAAGGTGCTTTATTAAGAATTGATGATTTGATGTGAAGTGCCTTGACGTAATACATGTTGTGTTTCGTCAAGGCACAAGTGGCGCTATGAAAATGAGAATAAGTTAAATTCAAATGAATATCTTTTTTTTTTTTAAATATCGGATTATATCTTGCCAGTAATGTCTAATGAAGTGTCAGAGCATGTTGTGTTTGATTATCCTTTTTCTTTATGTCTGCACAACTGAGGAAGGTTTATGTTGAATCATTTTGGATATGTTTTTTCAGACAGTGTATTGTTTTCTTACTTAATTTTTATTTCACTTGCATATAGATATTCACACATATGGAATCATATTCATCATTTCCACCGTTTTCTCAGAACAAATTTCCAGTACAGGGTAATATTAATGAAATTTGGCATAAAAAATGACAAACAAATAAATAAAAATATCAATAATAAAAAGGAGAAACATTTTTATGAGATTATCAATGAAACAGATTAAATTTGAAACGTACACAGGCCTTCCTCGATGCGTCTCCTTTTAATAACCCTCATTGTGTATGTTTTTCACGGTTTGTCCCTTTAAACATTCAGCCTTGTTTGTAAAGCGCGGCCGAGACCCCGCCCCTTTATGTAAATGAGCCATGACGTTGGCGGAAGGCAGCGCTACGTCTCTTCTTCCGACAGATATTCCTTTAAAGGCGTATTTAAAGCCCTGGACTCAGTTGCAGGAGCGGCGGACAACCTATGCAACAAAAGCTGCTGCAGAGCCGAGCGACTGTCCGAGCGCTCAGCGGACAACAACACGGAGCCAGCGGCTTGACACGAACCCGGCGAGGTGAGCTCCGGGCGGGAGGTGAAAAACAGCGACCGGGGGGGGACGGTTGTGAGAGGTTTTTGTAGCCGCTGCTGGGTAGGAGGCTCCGGCTGGAGGAATATACAGCATCTCAGGTTGCTGCTGCTGCTGCTGCGGAGAGAGAAGGAGGAGAAGGAGGAAGAAGAGAGGAGGAGGAGGAGGAGGCATTTACAGTAGTTTCTGTAGGCCTGAGTCAAAAACAAAAAGAGAAGAGGGGCTGGAGGTGCAGACAGCCGGAGCCAGGTCAGGTTGCATAATTAGGCTGCGCTAATTATAAAGAGTGCATAATGAGGATTTCTGTTGGGATGTGAGGCAGGTAGTGAGGGTTGAAAAAACACTAACAGAGCAGGATCAGGGTTGTTGTTGTTGTAGAATAATGTTCATTTCTCACTCACTGCCTTTATAATTAACCAGGAAGGACTAGTGACTAAGAGCCCAGTGACTTTGAGAGCACCAAAACAAAACACACACCGGTATGTTTGGACTGCTTTTGGGCTTGTCAGTTGAAAATAAAGAAATCATGACGAGTGTCCTGCTTTTTTTTTTTTTTTTTAAATTATCCATCACAAGAAGCTGATGTTTTTCCCACCTGGCTGCAGTTTACAATATCAAAAATGAGATTTAAATTAGAATAAAAAACAAACAAACATCCCCAAGCAGTAATTTTCTAAAGCAATCAGTAAAGTTGTTTCTTAAGCAAATGTAATAAAGAACCCTTGTTTCTAGCCTCCTTTTTGTGTGTGTGGTTTGCAGTGGTAAATCAAATATCTGTTGGATGTTATAGCTGCTGTTTGTCAGTCAAAACAAGCGGCTCCAGCTGGACTAACTTCTGAGAATGTAGAGACCAAGCGATTAATTGATTTATCCAGAAATGTTCATCATGCTCAAACCGTAACCTAAATAGTTAGTTACAGCTCCCGGTGATATAAGTGTCACTCTGCAGCAAGGCTCAGAGACCGTTTAGCTGGAAGAAAAATGTTTTTATGCACCTTAGATGGCTTTAACTTTCTCTCAAGTGCATCTTTTGGATACTCAGTAGGAGTTTCCATTTGAATAATTCTGCACTCTTTTCTCATTTCAATGGAGCAAATGTATGTAAAGATGTAGTTGGAGATGTGTCAAATGACTTCTGCAGACGAGGAGTGATTGAAGAGAGGGTGATGTGTTCCGGTGTATTGGCATCTGCTGATTTATTTGTGTGTTTTTGTGCATGAGGGGGCGAGAGCGCATGTGCGTACTGACTGCTGTATTGATTTAATGTACAATATAATTTGTGTGCCCACTGTGCTGACTTGTTGGATCTAAATCTTTGTTGCGTGTGTGTGTTTTCAGGTACAACTGCAGGGCTTGAGATTGCAGCCTGGACCTAACGACGACGTCTCATCGACATTTATGAAGCTTTCAAGGCCTTTTGGTGAGTCTTGCACGCACACAAAAGGCGGCCACTTCTTTTATCCGCTGTCATCGCGGCGTTTTAAAGCCCTCCTTGTGTGTGTTATTTTGCAGTTTGGTCTAGTAAATCTGCACAAAAACAAAACAGTGGTCCCAAAGAAACATGTAAATGGCCAACAGATGTTCTCCCTCTTTTCAAGTCTAATGTGTTTCTGTTCTGCTGAAAAAAAAACCACAACCAGCACCAGTAGAACAATACGGACTCGATGTGCAGTGTGATGATGCGGTGGCGGTTTTTGGGTTTGCATCGGCCCAACAGGATCTGCGCTGACACGCACACAGACACACTCGAGCGATGCGCACTTCTTCCTCAAAAATCAGTGTCACGCTCAGGGTTTCGATGCGTTGCAGTTTGGGTTTCGGTTTGCCTGCATATGAAGACCAGCCAGTTCAGCTGAAGTGAAAGCAATCGACTTCCTCTTGATGAAATGTTTGCTGACTACCAACTGCTGCTGTGTCAGCATCCAGTTATTACTGACACACACACAAAAGCGGCCAGACGCCTGCGGTCACGTGCAGACAGTCACATGAACACATACGCTCCTTATGCACATAAACATACATATTATGCAAACAGAGAAAACACCCCCATAAATTCGCACAGACTGACTTTTATCAACCGCCCACGTACAAGTGCTTCGCCTGCAGAACTGGACTGTATGTCTATAAACAAAATGCACAGAACGAGTTTACATGCTACCTTTAATGCCATCTATGTATTCTAGCAGTGATGCATGACAGTCTCTTGGTAGAACAGCTCCTCAAAAAACACAAAAACACTCCTTGATGGAATAAATTGAAATTTTAAACCGACATATAAGACTTTTGTGTGTGATCTTCACTTCATCAGTGATTATTTTAGGCATGGATTGTGACTTAAACACACGCATAAACTCACCTACTGAGGCCATAACTGTATATTTCAAACTGACTGACATGTTCTCAGGCTCCTGTTGAATGAATTATTTATAACTGTGTACCTCCTGTTATGCACCTACCCAGAAACACAACTACACATGATGTTTTTATGGAGCAAAATCTAACATACAATAGGTTTTAATTGTATCTGGCTTGTTCATAATGCACACAACGAAGAGCCAGCAGTTTGCTAACGAGGTGATATGTAGTTTTCTTGTTTTTGTAGCTTGACTAGTAGGTTCAGACTTCTTCTGCCTTTTCTGCGTTGCAATAATATCATCAAAAGTAATAGTTTTCTGCCATTTATTAGCGCCTACACCAACTGATCTACTCAGTTTTGGCTGTAGTAGCACAGACATTCCACCACCAACTAGCATTTCGTCAGAATGACACATCAGCGCACAAATAATAATACAACAGGCCACTTGCAAAGGCTGCTGTGTAAAGGCTGTGTAGAGTCAAGGCAGAATCATGAGCCAAGATTAACATCAGTGCACTTGCTGTGTCTCCTCATTTGTTTGTGTAATACACGCCACACAAAGCAGCTTTAGAGTCGGACTCGACCTGCAGGTTCCTCAGAAACAAAAAGAGATTGTTAAGCGCTTATCATTTACTCTCAATAATTCTCAATAGCCCTCATTTTCTTTATTGTTGTTGACTGTCAAAGCTGTAAAATACACCCAGAACACCTAAAACCAAAGTCTTAATGACAAGCAATAGGTCAATGTGGAGCCACACTAATGTTTGTCTGACATAAACTGACTGGTCATTTGAGCCAAAAACAGCTTTGTGTTAAAAAAAAAGCTCAGTTAGCTTAGCTTAGCGCAAACAGTAGAAACACTGGTAGCCTGACTCAGTCTGAAGATAAAAAACTGTCTACGGGCCCCTTTAAAACAGCAAAGAAGCGTATTTCGCCCCAAAATGGAAGCTGCTACGTTGACGTGGATGTGTTTTTTGGCACAACAGAAAGAGACGTGTTTGAGTGATACAGCACACACACTTTTAAATACTGTCATTTGTAACTCTCTGACATTTACACAGCGATACTCGACTTGATCGTGCTGCAAAAATGGAAAATTAATCTTTCACATTAACAAAGGCTTCTGGAAATGTGCCTTTTTTTTTTTTTAGTGGATTTAATTTACTTTGAAGTGATGCTGGCTTCCTTCAAACATTCTGCATCTCTTTCTCTCATAATCGCTGCCAATCTCCGTCCACCACACACACACACACAGACACACACACATGCACACACAAACAGTAGATCTGGCTTTGTATCCCGAGCCCTGATCCTGTGTGCAGATAACCCACTTCCTACTGGCGTGAAGTTTTTGTACACAAACCTGAGAGGAGAGAGGAAAGAAAGGAGCGAGCCGGTCTGTTCTCCCCACCTGTGATCAGAACTGTGTGTGTTTATGTGCATGCGTTTGTCGTCTCACTTACATCCATGCCATCAATAGCCGGTCTTATCTTCACCTGATCTCACACACATAAACACCACACACACACTTGTTGCAGCTATAAATGCTGTTGTGCCGTCTGGAGTCACGGTATTTGGAAGCTGAGGGAAAGTCCGACTGGCTCCTGGTCTGTTTACATATTTAAAAAGAAAAAGTTTTTTGGCCTTAACAGGAAAACCAAAATGTAATTCTGGTACAGATCCGGCACAAATCTGGTGAAGTGTTGACTTTTTAGGTGGGTGAAAATTTTTTTGCTTTTTCTCTTCAAACAGTAGAGATCAGGAAAAAGTGACTAACTTGAAGGGAAAAGCAGAACGTAGATGTCATGGTCTGATTTCCTGGCAGCTGAATAGATCTCTGTGGAGGGGAAACTGCAGGCTGGTGTGTTTGTTTGTGAGCGTGGAGACTATCAGCAGCGCTGCATGCATGCCTGGTTGGTTTTCTAGTGGTGAAGGACTGTTATCAAAGTCAATATCAGATGGCTGTACTGTATTTAGCTCTGGCTTTGAGTTAGAGGACACACACACACACACACACACACACACGCACACGCACACACGAATACATTCTGCAGCCGGAGAGATTGTCAATAATACAAAACGTCTTCTAAGAATATAGACTTTCCACTTTGTTTGCTTCTTCTCCTGTCAGCTCTTCTCGTCCGTCTTTCTTTTCTGGCCTGCTTCTTTCTTCTCCACTCTTTATCATTTCTGTCTTTTGTGTTTGTTGAGCTCCAACCCTGAAAGCTTTTCAGTTCTATGCTTTCTTCCAACTGATCACCTACAGCCACGGGAAAAGGCCCGATGTGCACGGATGCGTCGCATTTCTTGTCACCGGTGCATTTGGGAGACGGTTTAGAGGCAGAGATTGAAAGTTCATTCTTCACTCTGGGAACACTTTCTGACAAAACGCTGCCACCACAAGGTCTGTTCAGTAGGTTTTGATCCCATCACTTAGATCCTCCTCAGCAGACAGAGTTGTTATTTTTGTAAACCCCTGAAGGAGGAAGTTTTCCAAAAATGGAAACGAGAACATCTGCATTTCCATGACAACCGTGAAAATGGCGGTTCTATTAAATGGACTTTGTGGGAGCGGTAGTTTCTGAATCAATCCAGTATTATTTATAAAGGGCCACTTCAGATAGCAAAGCGACGACCTTACAATATTATGTTGTAGAGAGAAACCCAAGAAACCCTTCTGATTCCCTCAGAGCAAACTGTGGCGACAGTAGGATGAAAAAGCTCCCTTTGAAAAGGATGAAACCTCCGGCAGAACCAGGCTAAGGAAGGACAGCGGTCTGCCTCGACCAGTTTGGGTTATGTGGGCAAACAATGCATGAATGTTTTCTCCATAGTCTCATTTTCAAAAACGTGGAAAGCTGTAAATGCATGAAAATCATCAGTTAAAATGAGAAAGAAAAACGTTTCTGTTTGACGACTTGAACAAATATTACATCGGCTGAGTATGTTGAGAAAAGGTTTTGATAAGACTGCTAATGTCTTTTATTTGTTTTCTCTCGTCTTTTTTCACTCTTACATTTACTGTTAAGGTCACCTGTGGTTGCTTTGTGCAGAAAACAACAGAGCCGTGACAGGTTTTTACTTTCTCATACCTGTAGCTGTTGTTGTCAGAGCAGAACAATGAGCTGACGTTTGACTCTGTGTTTTTAAACAGTTTTTTTTTTTTTTTTTTGAGGTGTGAAATCCTGTTTACAAATGTGTTCATAATCATTCGTGAGGAATGTTGATCCCAAGTGCAGAAGCCGCCAGATCACAAAAGCCAGCGCCAGCTTGAACCAAATCTTGACGTCTTATAATGCAGCACAAACGCTAAGCAGGAAGCTCTGCTGCTTTATTCAAGGGCACCTTGTTCATTTTCCCGTCCATCTGGAGATTTGGATTATCTTGGCCGGATTCTAATACAGATTATTCTTTAAATCTCCAGTGATGTTAGGGGTCCAACTTATTGTCCATTGCTGTTTTTAACTGCAAAAGTTCTGGTAAAGGTCAGATTTTTCCTTTGAGACAGGCCAAGTCTGAACTCAGATAGCATGAATAGCTTGAACAAATATGGCTTTGCCACACTTGGAGCTGTTTGGGCTGCGCTGCCTGAGGTTAACTTTAATGCTCTTATCAGTGGGCTGTCCTCTGCTATGAGACATCTGCACTTACAGCAGATTTAAAGTTTCTCTCTTCAAAGCTTCTCCAAAGTCATTTAGTCCCTATTTTGTTTTTTGTTTTTTTTTACAATCGCGGTCCCCATCTTTACTGACTCATCCTGAACAGAAAATGCCCAAATGATGCCGCACCTTCCAATTAAACAACCAGAACACTGACTGGATGCCAGACATGACTGGCAGCAAGTCAGATTTGTTTTGTGTTGTGTGTCTTGGCTGCTTTTAGGTCTCGTTGGGTGAAGCAGGCACCACACCCAGTTCTCTTACGCTTATCTCGCTGCCGTTTGCTGTGTCACAGTTGAAGTGTTTGGATGCGTAGTTCATGACATACAGGACATTTACAATCTGGCACCGTCCGTGGGCAGCACAGGAGCTGATGTGAAAGGAAGCTCCTGTGTTTTTTTGTGT